TAAATTTGTAAAGGCATCCTTGAATGTCATGCTGAGAAGTTTGGACTTAATAATATTAGCAATAGGGAACCACACAGATTTATTTTCATTAAAACAACAACAACAACAGTGCAGCCAGCAGTATGAAAGATGTGTAAGGGCAGGAAAGGAGAGGAAAGAGGAAGATCCATTAGGAGCCTTCTGCAACAGTCCAGGTAAGTGAAACTGGAGAGAAGGCTTAAAATGACAAGAAAAATCAAAAAGCAAACAGAAGTCAGCTGTGGGAGGTAAAGAACATGAAAAGGGAAAAATTAAAAATGGTTAACTAAAACAGTATGTGAAACTACTATTCGCTTATGGATTAGCTATAGAGAAAAAAAGTTTGAAGATCGGGGAGAATATTCTTTCAATATTTGAAAGTCTGGGCATTAAAATGCCTGTGGTAGAATGAAGTAGAGATGCCTGGTATGTCCCTAGGCATATGAATTTGAATTTAAGAAGAAAGGTCAGAGCCATAAAGACTTGGGAATAACCAAGGACATAGCTGGTAATCGAAGTCATGAGCATAAAGAAGACTGACCAGAGAGTCCTTCTGATGCAAAAGAGAAGGTGACAGAGAATAAAATCTTGGGCCACACCAATATTTATGTAGCAAATTGTGAAAGGGAAACAAAACAAGGAAGTGAGAAAAATGAGAGAAAATAGAAGTAAAAAGAATGCCTTTGCAAATACCAAAGAAGGGTCTCTATTAGCTCCTTGACTGACAGCAATGTCAATGGACTGGTGGATTCAGATGCAGATTGATTTGGGAAGAGAATGTGAGCAGAAAAAGTGACAGTGATTCTCTTTCAATAATTTGGTACAATGATAAGGCACAGAGAATAAGGCAACAATTGACAGTGTGGAAAGAGGGCAAGAATTTTTTTGTGTCTTCTTGGATTTTCTGTTTTCTTTTTTAAATATGGGAAGAGTAAGCTGTCACTGGAGAGGACAAGATCTGGGATACGAGACAGAAGAATTAAGCTCATTGAGCAGGTTTCCAACATGGTGGAAAACAAAGAGTGGTAGACAGGCTGTCCTTCTCTTAGAAAGGTGAATAGGTATTCTTCTGAAACTAGGTAAAGGAGGAGAATGAGATGAAGGTTGTCTAAGATATTATGGATCAGTTTAGTAAATGGTGGGTGGGTAGATGCGGGAGTCCGAACCACTCACCACTATTTTCTGCAGTTGAGTAGGAAGTTAATTATCTGCTGGGAATGAATGTTCAGGAATGGGTGAGAAGTCCCAGCTGCTGCTAAGTTAAATGAAGCAAAGCCCTTGAGTAAAGATATCTGCCATAAATGAATCCTATAAATTTTGCCCTCAGAACTCGCCCCTGGCATGAAGAACTGGAATCTCAGACTGAATCAGGATAAGTACAGGAGAGATCTAGTCAGATCTCTCCTCAGTGAAAATTTAAAATAAGTCTGGGGTATAGTGAGGTGTCCACAGTTTTTTAGTTCTGACTCAAAGCAATCCCCCTCCCCCACACTGAATTTAAAAGTGCCCTTTAAAGAGTAGAGTGGTCAACCCAGAATTACAGGAACCAGAGCAATTTATAGTCAGTAGCATCCAGAATTATGTCCTTATGAAGAACTTCAAGTACATTAAGTTACCAATGAGGGATTAAAAATATATATATATATGCTCTCTATAAATTACATTGTAAGTTATTAAGAAGAGTACAGTCTGAAATTCATGCATATGCCCAAGAGGGCTTTGCAAAGTGCTTAGAGTATAATGTGTGTTTACACTTGCTTAAAATGAAGCACTTTTGCCAGACCATGCACTTGCCAAACCCCTTGCTTTGCCTTTTAACCTGTGTGACATGTATTTTAAAATGCATATTAATTATCCTGTTCTACATCTGAAACCTTGGGTTGACCAGATTCCGAATCTTATGCAACAGTTCCATGGATTAGGAGTAAACTATTCAGAGGAGGGAGAAGCTTCTAATTCCTGTTTGGACTCCACATAATCACAAAGAAGGAAAATCCAGGTTCTGTAGTCTTAGTCTAGGCATATTAGAATCAGATTTCCTGGGTGCTCTGTATTTTTTCCTCTCATACTACCATGAGTTAAGCAAAACTGAACCTATGCTATTCTTTTTCTTTTACCATAGAATAAACATCTATGCTAGTATATAAAGCGAAAGTAATTTTATGATAACCCAACTGTGTATTATATTAGGCTAAAACATAAAATATATAGAAATTTTTATCACATATAAAAAGCTATGACAGCCAAAATCTAAGAGAAAAAGACAGATAAAATGGTTGCCTGAAAATTATGTCACAAAAAGAATATTACTATATTAAAAACAATATCTGTACTAGCTATAGCTGAATGCACATTAAGGTATCCAAACTTAGTTTTGATAAAATAAGGCATTATTTTGGATTTAGAATAGTTATCAATGGGGGAGCAGGTAGGATACCTACTTTTCATCTTTCAAACCTGGCCTTTCAAATCTCCATTAACACCTCAGTGGCAAGGACGACACATCTGCTAAAACACATGTGACAGCATGAACAAGTGTTCTAACGCTAGGCATCTAGTGAAATGCTTTAACACACAGCCTCTAGACCGCTGGGATGGCCCCATAAATAAGGATGTTTGCTTCCTTAAAACAGCAACCATGTTTAAAAATGATATGTTCATCAGGAAAAAAAGAAAGTATTTTAACTTAAACAAGCCAAATGACTACTAGACTTGGACAAAAAAAATGGATTTAAAAAAATGTAATCATGTGTACCCTTTATGTATTTTTATATATATATATATATATATATATATATATATATATATGTTTTGAACAAAGAAAAATCATTCAGCCACTAAAAAGACAGTTCATATACATCACTGCCATTATTTAGTTAAGGTTGTATTCACTAGTTAGTGAATATCACTGAAGCTGTTGATGCACTTTTAAACAAAGTATAATTGGACATATGGGGAAAACATACTAATTCATTCTCTATCTTGTAAACCATTACAGTGAGTTTCATTCTGCCTTTAATTGGCTGAAATAGGTATCTGAGAAAACTTCCTTTACCACAAAGGTCACTGAAACGGTAGAGGTTACCAAGAAGTAGCCTCTGATTACAAGTGCTTTATAAATGAAACTGAAAGCAAAAATCAAGCTTCAGTACAAATGAATGTATAAAGCTATGTTTCTTCTTTACTCTAGATTCTAAATTCAGTCTTCCAAATCCCTTGAATTATAACTATTTGTGTTTTGAGAGTGTTAACACAGTACACATTCTCTTGAAGCTACTTAAGAAACACACAAAAATCCATTCTATCTTATAACAAACACTATCACTTCCTGTTTTGTATCCAGCACTTAAATTCAAATGCATAATGCCTGTACTTGTTTTTCTTTTCCAGGTTAATATTAACAAGTACAATAAAATACTACAAATTCTGAATTCTTCAGGGATTTAATTGCATTAAAATTGTATGAAAACGAATGTTAATTAAATGGGATCTTAACTATAACTAAGGAAGGCCTATTCCCCAAAGTACATTTGCAACAGTCCTTTTTCATTTACATGAAAATAGGACCCCTGCTTTAAAAATAATACATGGTTTACACTTTTTACTCTCAAATAAGCTTTGATAACAATGGTATGAATTGGTGATATTTTATTATGAATTTATATCTGGTTCAATGTGAAGGCTCTCTGATTACACAACAGGTATTTGAAAGCAGCATCATTTTAGCTCTAATGATAGTAATGACAACAAGCATACTAAAGATGATGACAGAAAACACCTAACACCAACCGTTTAGATAATAGAGATCTTGATTATTAATAGCTGCAACATCCAGGATGCTTGGGAGGGAATTAAGGGCATCTTTCAAATAACTACAAGACACAAGCTTTTTTGAATGACACACTGAGACTAATAAACAGTTTTAAATCCAACTAATTTAACATTTTAGGATAAAGGTAACAATTGCTGTTAGTCCTACTCACTCAATTCTGAATCTTACGAAAGTTCATAAAGGGTACAAATATGAAGTATGACAGGCATTGTAGATCATCGAAATTCCTATTCCTTCCTCGGTTTTCACAGAGGAAGCACATATTTCTAAAAAGAGAATTAAGTGCAAAAACCGTGTGTGTGTGTGTGTGTGTGTGTGTGTGTGTGCGCGCGGGGGGGGGGGGGGCACTCCTTTGACGTCAAAAGACACCAAATCCCACTCTGCTGCACATGTGTTTTGACTCGAGGTTACTGTATTCATATTTCAGACGAAATCTGGTTAACTTTTTAAACGGTTCCCCCAGTAAAGTGGGAAAACTTCAAACCACAATTCGGAATGTATTAAAGTGTGGGGGCTACGAGAAAAGAGTTTCAAGGAAGCTTATTTTTGGATTAAAAACAACAACAAAAAAGCGGTCACAAGATTCTTCTGATAAATGCTGGGTCGGAAATGAAACTTAACTGCGTCCTTTTCATCTCCATTCGCTCCGATGCTCATGCAGTAGGGCAAAACCCCTTCTGGTCGACTTCACCAAAATGCGCACTTCCATCACAAGAGGCCTGGGCCCTCCCACTCTCCCTCCTTAAACCCCAAACGCAAGTAGGAAGGGAGAGGGTGCGAAAGAAGAGGGTCCTTGGCAGCTGCCACCCCTCGCCTCTGGTCGCGCCCTTTCTTTACAGTTCGCGATTGCACGAGTTGTGCGTTTTCCAGTCTTCCTCGGTATGTGCATTTGGAGGTGCAAACGGGGTGAAGGAGATGAGTCCGCTGTCACCCGGGCGAAGAGAAAGAAAGGAGGAAAGGAAGGGGGCGCCCGATTACCCGCAGGGCCCTCCCACGTCCGCACTCCGGGCGCACAGGGCCCGAGCATCCCGCGCCCAGGCCACCCTCTCCCGGGAGCCTCCTGCGCTGCGGGGGCGCAGCCCACACGCCTGCGGCGGACTCCGTAGGGGCGCAGAGACAAGCTCAGGGCTGAGAGCCAGGAACCACTTACCGCTGCAAAACGAACCCAGCAACAGCGCTGCCACCAAGGGCCACATCTCCGCGCCGCCGGGGGGTCGCCGCCGCCGCAGGTGTCTGGAACAGCCGCCGCCTCCGCGGCCGTTTCAGGCAGGACCAGCAGCCTCCACAGCAGTCACAGGCAGGACCCGCCGCCCAAGCTTCCTGGCCGCGCGCACGCTCGCTCCCGCCGCCCTACGCCCGCTCCCCGCCCGCACGAGCCGCGCACGCGCACTCGACCCCACCCCGCCACCGCGGCTGTAGACGCGGCGCCCTCCCTACTCTCTGGCTCCTGTCGGGTTCCAGCGCGCTCTGCTGAGGGCCCGCGCTCGTTCCTGGGTGGTGGCGCGCGCCTAGCTTCCCGGTCACGTTCCGCCGCCCCCGTTCTTTCCCGGGTCCATGTCCTGGTCCGCCACAGAAGGTTGTGCGTTTGTTTCTAGGCTCACCGGGGACTTCACAGTACCTTCCGTCTCCGCTGCTCTCTTCCCGCCTCTAGCACAGTCCAGGGCCCCACAGTTTTTGCTCCGCGTTTCCTTGCCTGGCTTTCACTCCAACCCGCGCGCTTCAGGGGCCTCGTCAGGCACTGCTCATCCTGACCTGGAGCCCATCCCTGCACCGGCCCCTGGCTCTTTCCTCCCGGGCTCTGGACCTGGACGTTTCGGGTCTCTCACCTGCGCCCCTTTCTTTGCCACTCAACGCCACCGCCGCGACCCAGGGCTCTCCTAGCCTAGGGGGTCTCCACATTTCCACGCGGTTTCTGAGCCCGAGGGCGCCACGCCGAGGCCAGGGCGGTGGCCCGATCCGCGCAGGATGGGAGCTTCAACTCACAGGGTCCTCCTGGGCCCTGCTCCCTTCCCTGGCCAGGTTGGTTTCAGATGCGGTTCTCATCCCTCTTTCTGACTTTGTCTTTAGTGTTTTCATCCTCTGGACAGGGTTAGTCGAACAAGTTCCATTTATGATAGTGAACATTTTAAAATGTGAACACGGAGACCACAGGGACCATCAGGGCATAGTTCGAAACAAGCTTCAATAGTGAGTAGACAGATAGTAGACAGTCCTACCAGAGGTATTATGGAGACTGATTTGTGACCTCTCCACGTGTAGTACTCTGAGCTGTGTTTGAGTTTAACATGCTTGAAAAATGGGTTCAAAATGTGGCTCCAAGCCGCAGTATGGACAAGGCCTTAGAAAGTGTCGCTGACTCATCCAGGCCACATCATTCTTCCTGAAGCAAAAGCCCTTTTAAAGCTACCTCTAACATTTATCCTGAATGATGAACTCTCTTGTCAAAGAGTCAGGCACTGGTGGCTGCTCTAATGGGTGCATATCCTGTCCACTCCCTGGGTTGTTTTTCTCTTACCTGCTGGAAAAGAAAGCAATTTTCCACCACAACATCCCATTTCTCCAACTCTACTCTGGGTGTATCCTCCCAAACACCCCATTGTCACTGTAATAAAATTCAGGAAACAAAATTGCCACTGTCCCTGTCTCTACAGCAATGTGTAGTATACTATATAACTTTTTTCCTCTGTGTGTGTGTGTGTGTGTGTGTGTGTACCTCTTCCCCATAGCACTACTAATTCTTTAACACCAGAGACAGCACTTTAAGAATTCCCTCTTCCAAGGCTTTACAATGAACTGGGCAAACAGAAGGGTGTTAATAAATGTGCTATGTGACTCGAGGCAAACATTTCTGTAGTGAAATTTGATTGTTTTTTTAATGATTGAAAAAGAAAGAAAAACAATTGTCTCACAGACATCTCACTAAAACAATGGTTAATAATTATGTTGGTAATGATTTGAATGGCAGCGTTGACACCCTGAGGCTATCAAAGGAACTGATCGATTCTCCTCCAACTGCTGCTTATATGGATACAAAAGAATCAACCACCAGACTTTGAGTATTAGGGACATTGTGTATCACAGAGCAGCTGGTTGGCTAAATAAGGCTGTCAGCTGTCCCTGGAACCGAACAACCCCCCTAAAGCTGAAGAATGACTGGAAAAGACTGTCCCCAACCTTCAGAGGTAGCGATTCAGTGATGCTCTGTTTTATACTGGAAGCTATTAAGGCTATGTGCCTAAAGTCTTTTTGTGCAGAAAATGGAATAGTTTTAAATCAGGTGAATGAGAGGTCATCTGGGTGATTGCCTCTGCTCTTGGGACATATTGGTGGTGGGGGGACAAAGGTGGCCTATTCCAGGAGTGACATTTCACAGAAACCTGCCTAGGTTTGATTTTTTTCTCTGAGATAACGTTGAGCTCATTTCTTCAGTACCTAACCTCTTTTGAAGTTTCCCCTTTAATTTTTCCAGGCATTTGTATTTGAACTTTGAACTTAACTTACATAATGTAAGGGGTTTATTGGGTAGAAGGAGAGGGGATAATGCATATTAGGACATTTTGAACATAGGTAGTACACATTAATTGGATTACCTAAATCAATCTCCATAATATTCTTATTATGAACTAGAATAGTATTATGATCACCAAGTTAGAGATGAATAAACAAAGGGAGAGAACCATCATGTGCTCTTTGCCCAGGGTTATATGTGATACTGCTCTTGCACACGTGCACTCTCTTTCTTGCTGCCATCAAAGTTGTTATAGCTTTCCCTTTAAGGTTGAAAAGATTTATAGCTCCTACACAATCACTATTAACAACTTATAAATGTCAAAAGTGAGGCTTGGTCACAAGCTAAGGGAGGGGGCTATAGTTGTATTGAATCTACCTGACTCCAGGGTTACTGAAACAACCACAATCTCCTTTGTAAGTTTATGACCAATTCTCCTCCCCCCACATTCTGTCTCAATCATATAACTACCTTTATTTACCCTCTAAAACTACATCTACTTCCTGCAACACAGTAGGTATTGGTATGATATTGTCTAAAAAATTATGGACATGATTGTATCCTTTTTGTGCATTTTCATTCAACAATACTTCTCACCCCATGTTGGAGAGCTGTCCAGTGGCTTGTGCTTTGTGCGGGGCCTGATGAATCTTTCTGCGAAAGTGGACCTGCATCAAAAGATCCTGCAGTAGACCAAAGCTCAAGATAATGTCAGTGTAAGTTAGGTGCCCCTTCTCTGTGTTTTAGTCTTGTTTGGCCCATATCAGTTACCATGTTAAAGTGATTGGTTTATGCGGCTGTTTCCCTTTTTAATCCTTCCTGAATGAAAGGAGAGCCCATGAGTCTTTTTCACTGCTGGCCCTATTATCAGGCATATAGGTGCTCCAAACAAAACAAACAAACAAACAAACAAAAAACAACAGTCATTAAAATGATGAACGAGTGAGTAAATAAACCTCTCAAAGCTAGGCACAGTATTTCCCATAAGTTTTTGGCAAAGTACCCTTCTGACCATTGTGATTCAAGCTGACTTCTTTCTGTGGTCAGGTGCTGCACTAGCAAAGTGGATTATTCTGCACCTAGTCTACTCCACTTTCCGGCCTTGAGCTGCAGTCATGCTGTTCCCTTGATTTCAAATGTTCTTTTCTCCTCAACCCAAAGAATTCAAACACCGCTTTCTCCTAAAAGCCTTTTTGAATCCTGCTTTGGGGGTCTAATGACCTGTGCATGACACTTTGTTCAGGCTGCTAATAAAAGGTGTCAATAGATATTTGTTTCTACATATCTGCCTCTTATATCACATTAGCTAAGAAAAAATGAAATTTGTCCTGGATGTATTTGTATTTCTGTATTGGTTAGAATACTCTACAGAGATGGAACAGATAGAATATATCTACAGATCTATATAGATATCGGTAAATATCTGTAGATATATTTGTACAAGGTTGGTTCCAGGACTCCTGTGGATACCAAAATCTGTGAATGCTCAAGTTCCTTATACAAAATAGTGTAGTGTTTGCTTGTAATTTATATACATCTTCATATGTACTTTAGATCATCTTTAGATTGATTATAATGCCTAATACAATGTAAGTAGCAAGGTAAAAAGTTGTTATACTTTTTTGTTTGGTGACAGGAAATAAGTTTGTACATGTTCAGTATAGACACAATTTCTTCTGAATATTTTCCATCCAAGGTTGGTTGAATCTGTGAATATGAAACCCTTAGATATATAAGGCCAATGATAGACAGATGGATAGATAGGGAAAAAAGAATGGTATAGATAGATGAGATGGGATTTATTAGGGGAATTGATTCAAGTGATCATGGAGGCTGAGAAATATCGTAAGCCATATGCCAGCAGGAGGAACCGGCAAGCTGTTAGCATGGCTGTCTGAAGGTCTGAGAAGCCAGTCATGCAACTCCCAGTTGGAGACTAAAGACCTGAGAACCTAGGGGTTCCCATGAGCCAAAGGCCAAACAATCTGGAGTTCGGATGCAGGAGAAGTATGTCCCAGCTCCCAAGAGAGGGGAGGAGGAGGAAAGAGATTGATTGATTTTAGCTTTCCTCTACATTTTCCTGTACCTGGGCTCCCAGTTGGTAGGATGATGCCCATTTAGTCCCCGGACTCACATGTCAAACTCCTCTGAAAACATCTTCACAGACACACCCAGAAATAATAACCAGCTTTCTAGGCATCCTTTAATCCAATCACATCAGCAGCTAAAATTAACCTTCAGAACCTCCAAGGAGTAACACAGTGCTGGTGTAGGACTAAGTGTCTAAACAATCAAGAGAAATCACAGCCTGGGTTGTAGTGCAGAGTCACTCCAGCCTCAGTTTGAATTACAGCTCAAGTCACTTACTACCTGTTAATTTTGGACAAGTTGTTGAATGTTCTGAGTTCTCATTTCCTCTTTTGTAAAGCAGAAATGATAACAATAGTAGAAATTAACCCTTTGCGTTGCCTTAAAACTTTGAGTTCACACATTTACAGGTTAGAGCAGTACCTGACATCCAGTAAACACACAATAAATCTTAGCCCTTAATATTATAATCATCTTAGAAGAGTATTTTTTGAATGGCAGTGAAAATTGTGACCAAAAGAATCCCCAGTTGCTGGTCAGTAGCATTGAAGGTGCATGTCGAGTTGGGAAGTATGAATGATTCTGGTTCAAGTAGGCACACATATATCTGTGCCTGGGAGTCGGGGAGCCCTTTACTCAATTGCTTTTCTGCGTATTTATGAGTGAACACTAAGGGACCCCGTCTGTGACATCTGGCTCAGAGCCCAGTGTTCTGGGGTTATTTCATGTTAACCCAATTGT